ATTTCAAAACAATCCATGCCAATAACAAACAAAAATTTTTGCCATGTTGGATTCTAAGTGGACTGCAAACACACACGCACGCACGCAAGCACACGCGCGCACGCACACACACACACGTTTGTTTTTGTCAAAAGTGGGGACATTACATAGGTTTCCATTCATTTTATACAGTCCAAACTGTATATTGTATTGCCCTCACCCGACCTCACCCCTAAACCCAACCATCACTGTAGACTGTGTGCAGCTTTACTCTGATTAAACTCATTCTGTAGGATTTATAAGCATTTTGAGAAATGAGGACGTCACCAATGTCCTCATATTTCACCTATGATTTGTAATACCTGTGTCATACCTATGTCATTATACAGATTTGTGTCCTGATATGTCACAAAAACACGTACACACACAGACACACACACACACACACACACACACACACACACACACACACACACACACACACAAACACACACACACACACATACACACATACACACATACACACATACACACATACACACACACACACAAAGACAGAGACAACACACGCAGTGCTGGTGAGCGAGAGGGATCCCTTCAGATTCTTCAACACGCAACATCGCGTTCATCAAATTTGCTTAAACTAAGTATTCTAAAGTATGGCTGTTTTTAACAAGCAAAGATTCTGACACACCAACATGAAGCAGACGCTTTACAAAAGGAGGGAAACATGTCAAACTTAATGAAACATTTGAGGGATGCAGCTTAAGGGCAAATTAATGTTTTTGACAGCTTGCGAATTCATCTAGCACTTTCATTCACATGGACACCAATACTCAGCTTTGATGATTATTATAATACTGATCAAGAGTCAACCATGTAAAGCGATTTTTGATTATCTTAAATGACCACGCAAGTCTCGAATGTGGAGGGCGGGGGTGGGGGGGGGGGGGGGGTTGGGTTCGGACGCTATTCTGCTGCCCAAGGCAGCCGCCTAGGTCGCCTCTATGGATGCGCTGGCCCTGAACACACATCGGCCACAACAGGAAATAAAAAAACTGCAACTGCGTTTTGCGTTAATTTTGTTTAAGGCGTTAAATATTTCAAATTAATCACGTGCGTTAACACGCTAATTTTGACAGCCCTAAAAAAGTTTTAGCTAATAATTCCAGACAGCTTTCACTGAATTTGTAATAGTGAAAAACACAGAACTTTCAGTTGTTATATGTAAAAAAAGGCATAAATACATGCAGGACCATTCAAATATTTTGCTTGTCTCAAACTATTGACAGCAGAACTCTCAATGAGAGAGAGAGAGAGGAGGGAGATTTGGAATGTATGTAATATGACAGTGTTCAGAAAAGTCTTGTCACTCCATTGTTTAGCAAACAAATAACAATGACACGTACCTTTAGGACTATTTTGTTGTCTGAAGTAGGTGTCCGTCCAACCCAGAGTGCAAATTTACATGGATCCCCTTCAACATGTTCAGTAACTCCTAGTTCTGAGGTCTAGGAAGAGCAAATAAACAGAATAATCAAAGATCACACTTTAAAGTCCATGTGAAATCCAAATGTACAATATCTATTTTGCTAGCATACATTGTTGTTCTTTAGACCATTTCTATAGGATATATGCCGAAGCATGCGAATAGGACTTTTAATTTGTCATTAACCTGGGTTAAGCGCTTCTGGCGAATTGTATGCCAAAGCAAAAACCGGCGCATTTAAGGTCTGTTTTCTTTAAAAATCAGTGATCTCCACTAGCTGAGTGCTATCCGATATAAAGTGGGTCTCAGATTGTACAAGAAGCACTGCATTAAGTTACATTTTCCCCCGCCATGTATTTATAATATGAGCATTTATTTAACCCCAGTATATTCAATGGAGCTTCTGCGCTAGCCTGCCAATTCTGACAGGCGCGTGCGAGTAAACAGCTTTTTGTCTTGTTTTACGCTTGACCAACTAAATGGATGCCAAAGCTTATTTAACTAAATATATTTTAATGACATTACAACATCAATGCTGTAAAAGGAACTGTATAAAATAAAAAAAAGTTCACAATAACAGGTCACCGGAAGTTTTTTTATTATGGGAAAAACACTAGCTCAGCATATACCAAATGTGGTCATGTGACTGGCCCATGAACGTTTCCTGCTTGTTTTCATAACTGTAGCAACAGGCAATTCAATCATAACTTGATGGTAAAACATTATGTATCAATATGTGGCTCTTTTTGGATTCTCTGAAGCTATAAAAATTAAAAAAGTAAAACAGGAAATACATTGGGACCATTGTCTTTGTTTACATCCCTAGAAATGGTCTATAGGTCAACAATTCATTTGCACAAGGTAATCCACTGAAAAAAAAAAAGTTTGTTTTGGCAATCTTCAATCAAATTCAAACTATTTGCTTCGACGTTTGGAGTAGCGGTCCTTTTCTATTAAAGAGCCCATATTATGGGTTTTTGAAAATTCCCCTCCATGTAGTGTGTAACACAGCTCTAAGTGAAGTGAAGTATCCAGCTAAGGCTTAAATCTGTAAGAATACAGTGTTTAAAACTGTTGATTCATCTATAAAAGAGTCGAATCATAGTGCTTCAAACGAGTCGCCTTGATACCGACTCATTAGGTGTTTCGCCATGACGTACGAACGAAACAAAGTTTTTCACGTGCACGCGCAAACCCGGGAGATTTCAAACCTGAGGCCCCGCCCTCTGACGCAGTAACCCAGACACACACACACACACCCACAAACACACACACCCACAAACACACGCACACAAACATGCCGGTCGATTGAAGTCACACTGCAGATGGATATTATATTGAGTCTCTACCCAAAGATGAAACATCAGCATTATAACCAAGCAGTTGGAAACTTCTGGAAGCTACATGCTACAAAGAATACTTCATCTGAGTTTGTTAAAGGAAGGATCAGTAAAGAGTAACTGATGGACGTCAGGATGGGTTTCTTCCTACATTTCTCAAGTGTAAGTACGTGCGATTAATGTTGTTGCCTCGTTGACTCTAGCTTGCAAATGTATTTAGTTGTGATTTGTTACTTGTAACCGCGTGTACTGTATCAGGTTAACTGGATATATTATCTTATCGCGTGCAAAGTCACGTTAAAAACGCGACGCGTGCTGTTTGTTTATGGAGCTCCGTGCTAGAGTTCTGCTCCCGCGATTTATTCGGAAATGTATTCCCGCGCCGCAGAAATCTGGCGCGGGGAGAGAGAGAGAGAGAGAGAGAGCGAGCGAGAGAGAGAGCGAACGAACGAACGAGCTTTGTGTACTTTGTGCTGTGTGTGTGTTTTTATACTGACAGCTTGGCTGTCTGGACTGTATACTGGGTGATATTTGGTTGTGTTCTCCGCTCTAGCGGGACCGGGCGCGGCGGGCAGAAAACGGAGCGGGTTCTCAGGCTAAAACCTGGCGGGTGCGGGCTGAAGCGGGAGCGTTGTCATCCGGAGATGTGTGTGTGTTTTTGTGTGTGTGTGGTATGGCGAGTACACGACTGTCTCCTTCGTTCGGTTATCCGTGGCACTATCCACTCGCCATAGTGTGGCAGCTAAAGTCCACGCCTACACTATCGAGCGTGTATGAACTGTGATTACTTTTTAAATTGCTGATTAGCTATTGGCCATTTCCCTCTCTGACTGAAGGCAGTCGACCAATCGCGACAGACTGTCATCGGTCCAATCAGCGCAGATTAGCTTCGCGCTAAGGAGGGGTTTGGGAACAAATGAATCACTGGACGATTCATACAGGAGTCGCTGGGATAATTAGATAAAAATAAATGCAGATTATAAGACCATGAAAGTGTTTTTTGACCTTGCATGCATATTAGACTGTTGTTGGAGACCCTTACAACCAAGATATGACCTTATTTCATGTATAATATGGGCTCTTTAACGTAATTTTGATGGCTTCAGCCACAATATTCTTAACCACGCCCTTCTAACCATTAGTTTGCTATGAGGGAATGATGCACAAAAAAGAAAGTCCCGCCCCCAACACAATATTTAGATTCTGCCAGAAGTCCATCAACATACTGAAATAGAAATCTCAGCAACACCTCAGTCTGTTCACACGGATATTAATTTGTCTATTATGAAGTATAACCATCCATAATCCAGGAAACATTAAAGAATAATAATAATTACTGAACAAAATGATAAGAAAGCCCATACCATGAGCTTGCTCTTGTAGAGGTACTTGCTCCTGCCATTGGAATCTTTGACGTCCTTGCTGAAGATGAGGGACATTTCAAAGAGGAAGAGGTGTCGCTCTCTGCCCTTACGGATCAGAGTCTTTGGATCCCAAACCTGGAATGATTCCTGCAGAATCAGCTCACCCTGAGACTCAATGTTCTCATCGAAACCTGAAAGGACATGAGGAAAAGAGCAGGAGACAGAAGGGAGAAAGAAGATGAGTTATAAAACATGGGCAAAATAAAAGGTAGCTGTGTACTTGAGTCATACTCACCTTCTAGCATGCTAAGGTGCATAGCATCGTTAGCTCGTTTGGGTACGCTTAACATGACCTCCAGGCCATCTTTAATTTCTCCTTTACCCTCCTCACAACACGTCAATAGTTCCTACAAACAAAAAAACAAACAATGATAATTTAGCATCTGGGTATATGTTCTTACTCTTGTGAAGACTCTGTGTTTAGTCTAAGCTAGGATTGTTATAAATCTGTCTTTAGTTTGTGCTAAGCTTTTGATTATTCTATGCTTAGTCTGTCTGTGTGTGTGTGTGTGTGTGTGTGTGTGTTTAGTCTAAACTAGACTTGTTATGATTCTTTGTTTAGTCTGAGCTAGACTTGTTATGATGCTGTATCTAGTCTAAATCTAGACTTGTGATGTTTCTATATTTAGTCTAAATCTAGACTTGTGTTGATGCTGCATTTAGTCTGAACTAGACTTGTAATGATTCTGTGTTTATTCTGTGCTAGACTTGTTATAATTCTGTTTTAGTCTGAGCTAGACTTGTTATGATGCTGTATTTAGTCCAAAGCTAGACTTGTGATGATTCTGTATTTAGTCTGAACTAGACTTGTGATGATTCTGTGTTTAGTCTGAACTAGACTTGTGATGATTCTGTGTTTAGTCTGAGCTAGACTTGTGATGATTCTGTATTTAGTCTGAACTACACTGTAAAAACGCCAACTTTCAAAAAGTCCTCTGAACAAAGATTAATTAGTTAACTGAATTTAAATATTTTCATTTGAAATGCTGACAAATAATAGTTAGTTTGTTCAACAAATATGGTGCTTCAATGTGAAAAACTTAAAATATTTCGTTGAACTAATACAAAATTCTTAGTTTTGCGTTGATGCGTGCCCTTCTTGTTGGCGCATGCGCCTTATAAGCTTCTGGCGCATGCGCAATTTACTTCCATAGCTCACTGCAGGGGGTACCTGTCATGTGCGCGCGACAAAACGAACCATCTTTCTTTCTGCGGAGCTACGTGTCAATCGTTTTCATAATCGATTGTATATAATTGTATACATGTTTTTGTGCGATGTGCTACCCATCTGACTGCCCGATCTATTTTACCAGTGTATTAATGATGTGAGAGACCGTGATAGAGCGGTTAAGAGTAGTGGTGGGCAAAGCGAGGCTTCGTGAAACACTGAAACAGTCGAAGCAAATGTGTCGAAGCTTCGAAACGTTTCGAAACCTCACTCTACAGTGACATTTAGTGGTCATTTTTTATATATATTGCACTGAAACAGCTTCAGCAAAGAACGATTGAACAAATTGAGGGATTAAACCCCACTTTGTGAAAGCGGAAACCTTCAAGTAACATAGTACAGTGGTTAAGGTGTCAGACATCCATGCAGAAGTAGTAAGTTTCGAAGCCAGTCAGTAGCAGTTGTTTTAAAATGCTTTAATACCAGTTGGTAATGCTTTGCTCTTGTATCGTTTTGTTTCAACATTGGTCTGATATCCGAATAAACAATTTGTGAATAAATATGTCTTGTTTTTGTCTTAAAACAGGGTTGTTGCTAGATCAAAAACGGTGGCCTGAAGTTATCAAGAATTATTTATATTATTCATTAAATTTCCCATTTATTGTATTTTATTAATGTCTACCCAAACCCTAAACCCAACCATACTGTAAAAATATTTATTATTGTTTTACAGTGTTACAAAAATGATGCTAAATTGATGGCGTAACTGTAGCTGTATCCTATTTAGGCTACACAAAACAGAAACATGATTAAAATACATAAAACCATGATTTCGAAGTCGGGATTCGAACCCAAATCATCATGCTAAGCATAGAATCAATAAGCAAACCCACAGTGCTCTAAGCCATTTGAGACAGAGATAATTTGGAGACCTTGGCAGTCAAATTAGGATTCACCAGGTCTCGAAACGTTTCTAAGCTGATCGATGCTTTGAATCGCTTTAGTCACGTGACTAGGTGTTTCGAAACACTTTAGTCACGTGACTTGGGTGCTTCGGATCATGCTTCGGTGCAGTGATTCGAAACACT